TTATTATTATTATTATTAACAGCTTCCAATCCTTCCGTGACAATACGTTAGGCAACACCAATAGGACACAAGTTTTTAAAAAGTGGACAAAACAGCAACACATGTTTTCAGCAACTTATCTGATTCATTGCAATCGTACTGGTATCCGATAAAAGCAACCGCCAAGTCCAGAGGAGCGATTATATTTATTCCATCATTCAAACTCAGCAAAAGTCGTACACGAGTCCACACAACTACTTAACCCGTCCAAAAGCGAGCACCTCTGCGTCCAGTGAACACGTTCGTCGCAACTTGCGGGAGGAAGTCTTTCCACAGCGACATCCGTTGAGAAAAGTACTCTCTCCCAACCTGCGACTGTGGAGCGATGGCCATGTACAACTTCTCTTTGGATTCGAACCGGGGCCATGAGGCCGGGGAGCCTCCAGTTGCCGCACGAGATGGGTTCCCGGTCTTGGCGAATTGGGTGAGGGTCCCCCTGTAGGCATCAGTGACGGAAATGGCTGCCGGGGTGTTGAGTCTGATGTCCGGGGCGAGGTAGCTGCTGGCGAGGTCGCCTTGGTCGAAGAAGAAGGCCAGGTCTGTGCCGTGGTTCGTGCCGGTCTGTGGGGCGTCGGCCGATTCAAACTGAGGATAAAGCATTGATGATTGACTTATAATTTGATGACTATGTATCATAATAATGATGATAATAATAATAATGGATTGCATTTATATAGCGCATATCCACTTATTCAATGCTCTATGCCCTTAACATGATACATATTATGGATTTACAAATCAATTTTACAGGTACATAGTGTTACTACATACTCGTGCAAACACATATTCACTCATCCACGCACCACACACACATACATACACACATACACACATACGTACATATGCACATACACACATACAAACTCACAACGATCTACAGCAAAGCACGACAGACAGACAGACAGACAGACAGACAGACAGACAGACAGAGAGACAGACAGACAGACAAACAGACAGACAGATAGACAGACAGACACAGGAACACTGAAACGTGGGTGATGGGCGAGTGTTCTTGTGTGGTTTGCTCTTTTCTTTTAATCAAAGATATCATTTTATCGTCATTATCTCTCCTCTCAATTTTCTTTGAACGTTACTCTCTTACTAGTAAAACGAACACTTAACATTTTCAGCACTTATAATTTATATGACCTAATAGAGTAGCAAATGCCATAAAACTTTGATTAGAACTAAACTAAACACTGCTGACACATATGGGCCTACACATATACACACAAGCCTATACGCGCAAACATTCTCATGCGCGCATGTGCGCGCACCTTCACGACTTTTTGCTGCAATCATAATGCTACCGTACTATAGTGTATTTCCTTTCATAACTTTAAAATTTTAAGTCTACGTTGTAGCCTCCTAAATATAATATGATAAAAAACAAAAGACAAATGAAAAAGAAAGCTTACCTCAGGATAAAAATCAAACAGGTACAAAAAGATGTCTGTCTGGGGGGACACAGAGCTCAGCTGGCTCACAAACTCGAAGGTAGGGAAGATGAAGAACAAGTCAGACTGCAGATCCACAAATCCCTGTGTTGAAATAAGAGGATTATATTACTTATAAGGTTTTGTGTCCATTGGTTAAAAAATGGGTGTATAGTGTTTTAACGAAGAATTAATTTTTTTAATGTGGTGTTTTCATGCCTCCATATATTTACACAATTTGGATTATTTAAGTAAAAGATGCGGACTTTTCGACCATGCCTGTCAGGATCAACTTGGGCTAATAAAACTAAAAGGGAACCCCCCAAAAAAGATTAATTCGAGGAAAGTATTCTGGGAGCAAAAGTAGAAGGTAAGAGAGGAAGGGGAGACGTTATAATAGATACGGTCTTGATAATGACGACACTGTACTAAAAATACCTTAGAATAACACAATATTATCACAGTTAAACTAAGTGTGTCATATAAGATATCAACAGAATGCAATAATTGAGTTTCACATTACTAGACTTAATGGGTTGATTGTGTCAATAAATTGTCAGGGCGCAGCTGAGTGCGTCAAGATAAAACCAAGATCCTGTCTCAAAGAATAAACTGATGCAGCTATTTTCATCAGCTTCCAACCTCTTAACTCTATTTCAGAGGCCACTCAAGATCTTTACCTCGAAATTTTAATTTTATTCAATTATTAATACATGTATTATATTATATCAATGCCATACGGTATATCTTCTTCTTCTTCTTCTTCTTCTTCTTCTTCTTCTTCTTCTTCTTCTTCTTCTTCTTCTTCTTCTTCTTCTTCTTCTTCTT